GCGTGTGAGATGTATTTGCTTTCTAGTATTGCTCCTGACCGACTTGTCAATGATGGTGGGGAAAATTTTTGAATTTTCCAGATCGAATTTGTGAATAATAATGAGAACAAAGCCCCCCATAAGTCAGTTGGAGAGACTCTTACTAAACATGTGAGAGGGGAAGGGGTGGGGGTGCTGAGAACTCTAACAGCTCTCTGTGAGTGTGCGTGTGGGGTTGTTCATCGTCACTGCAGACTTCTATGCTCCCCCACCAGGACAGTGCTTCTGACTGAAGTTGTCTTTAGGCCATTTTCAAAGGGGGGGATATTGACATGTTCTTTTGCACAGTAGAATTGTAAATGGGCTGATTTATCAATGTCATTCTCATACTTGGCTCTCATGTGACCTTATGCAGTTGCGAGCGCTGTAAAACCTCTACTAAGACTAAACTGTCATGGCGTTTATGAGTGTCCCTCTGTACATTTTCCCTGCCTGCTGTATGTATCTCTACTTCATGTCATGTCGTTGTAATTGTAAAATTTTGTTATTTTGTCGATGTCTTTTCTTGCAGCGACTACAACCTGAGGCAGCTGGGAACTCTGGAGATCATCGACAGCGGCTCCTCTCGGATGTTGGCCCGACCAAGTGAGTGTTGGAGATAACATGAGATAACACTCCGGGAGTATTGAAGATAAGATAAAATGTGATAACATTCAAGTATTTAAAGATAAGATAATATTCATGAAGTATTGAAGATAAGATAAAATGAGATAATATTCATGAAGTATTGAAGATAAGATAAAATGAGATAATATTCAGTAAGTGTAAAAGATAAGATGATATCCTATTCAGTAGGTATTTAAAATAACATTCATGTATAAACTAATATTTTATTGAACTCCTCAAAGAGAAATTTGCTGCGGCGAGGTAAATACATAAACGTATACTTAAATGCACACTTGTTTGTTTCTTTGTTTTGCTTTGATTTGATTTATCTCGCGCCTGAATTAATCCATCTATGTTTATAGTTTTCCTTACGATGTTGTTGTTGTTGTTCTTAGCGATCCAGTAACATCTGAGCGTTAACTCTTTAACTCTTCTGCATGATGCCATTCTGCAATAGCTGCATGCCTTTTCTAAATGTTGTCTTGAGGAGTAGAGGCAGTTAGATGTGTGGGGTAGCTTGGGAAGAAAACGTCCCCTCCGATGGGTTAGTTTTCTACAGAAGAACAGATGATGTTCCTTCCACTGTCTCTGAGGGGTAGTCACATAGTGGGCAGGCAGCAGGCTGAAATAACATGAGTATGAGATAACTTTCAGTGAGTATTGAAGATGCGGATGGTTGGTGGGTGCTCTGGTGTGGTTTGCTCCTTATGTCCTATCAAACCCTTATCGTCCTGATCTCTCCTCCTCCTTTTTTATGTTTGTAACCCTCTTGTAACGCCTCTAATCTTCGACACTTATTTGGTTGCAAGTGATATAAAACACATGAATAGTTATTTTGTATGTCTTTTTGGAATTGATGTTAGTTTGTTTTATTTTATTTCGGGTTTTTTGTTGTTGTTTGTTTGGGTTTTGTTTTGATTTGCTTGTCAGGCACCTGAATTAATTCACTTACATTGAAGTTTTCCGTATGATGTCATCATCCCAACTTTCATCCCCCCCTCAGCCTCACAAGTCTCCTACCTGAGTCAGCTGTTCATCGAGGGCGTCGGGGGTGACCAGGCTCGTCACCGTCTGGCTGCTGTGACCTCTGGAGGTCGCGCCGTGTGGAAGGATGACCTTGGCCAGGTCCTCAACATCCTGTGCCACATTGTGTATCCTTGACCTTGGCTCTACGCATTTGATGTTAATGGTGGCTGCTGTTTTTCGAGAAATGCAAAAATATTTTTTTCGGTTTACTTTTTCTCAGGGGGTGGTTGGAGGGTCTCACTGTTCGGTCTTCTTTTCTTTCCCTCTGTCATTTCTGTCTGTCTGTCTGTTGTACTTTTTCCCAGCACTAAATGACCAAATGCGGCTTGTGTTAATGTGCTTGTCTTTGTTCAGACTAACAGTTACTTTTTGGTGCGTGGTTGGCTGGTGCTCTGGTGTGGTTTGCTTCTTCTTTCCTATAAAAAATCTATCGTCCTTATCTCCCCTCCTTCTTTTTTATGCTTGTTACTCTCTTATTACACCTCTAATCTTCTGGCGCTCATATGACCTTATGTAGTTGCGAGCGCCATAAAACCTCTACTATAGCTTTTATAAAGTTACTTTTTCCCCAACACTAAACGACCGTTATTCTGTCTACGTGCTTCTCTTTACGCAAGTGGGTGGTTGGCGGATGCTCTGGTCTGCTTTGCTCTTTCTTTCCTATCAAACATCTATCATCCTTATCTCTCCTCCTTTTTTGTGTATGTTACTCTCTTGTAATACATCTATTCTTCTGCACTTATATGACCTTATTGTGTTGCAAGTGCCGTAAAATACTTCTAAAACAAACTTACTTTCTCTGTTGTTTCTGTCTGTATGTCTTACTTTTTTCCAGCATTAAATGACGCATTATTGGCCACATACGTACTTTTCCTTACTCAAACAAACAAATCTGTATGGTAGGTCTTTTGCGCTGTTGTCTATCTTCTTGAAATAGAATTTCTTTAGGCCATTCCCAAAGGGGGGGTGGGGGACATTTCTCGTTCTAATGCACAGTAGGATTGTAAATGGGCTGATCCAACAATGTCATACTCATAACTGTGCCTGAACTACAACAGGATACTGCTGCGTTTTATTTCCTAATCCTTACTATTGTCATTTTCCTCTACTTCTTTTTTATGTTTGTCACACTCTTGTGACCTGCTGTTTCCGGGGTGCCTTGATAGTCGAAGCAGACCTTGTGCTGTTGATGCTAGAGAGGTGAGCAGAGTAAGTCTGATTCCCTGTAAGGATTTCTCTGTTGACATCCTCCCCTTGGCGATCATATGACCTTATGCTGTTGCGAGCGCTGTAAAATCTCTACTAAAACTAAAAACTTTGTTTCCTCCTTTTTTGTGTATGTTACTCTCTTGTAACACACCTATTCATCTGCACTTATAAGACCTTATTGTGTTGCAAGTGCCGTAAAACTCTTACTATAACTAAACTCTTTACGCGAACAAACAAATCTGTTTGGAAGTTCTTTTGCGCTGTTGTCTTTCTTCTTGTATTGAAATATCTTTTTCTTTTTTTTTTCACCATCCACGTAGCTTTATCACGTCGAGTTTCAATTTGTTGTGTGGGTGGTTGGCGGGTACTCTGGTGTGGTTTGCTCCTTCTTTCCTATCGAACGTCTATCGTCCTTATCTCCCCTTCTTTTTTTAAATGTTTGTTACTCTCTTGTAACACCTCTAATCTTCTGGCGTTCATATGACCTTATGCAGTTGCGAGCGCCGTAAAACCTCTACTAAAAAAACTTTTGCTCTTTTGTCTATCTTCTTCAGATAGAATTTCTTTTTTTTTATTAACCGTTCACATAGCTTGGTCACGTCGAGTTCAAATTTGATGAGCTTTCCTTAACGAGTGGTTCAGCTGGCCAGCCACTGACGAGACAATTTTCCCAGAATTCCTCATCCGTTCGTGCCAGTACCTGCGCCTCCAGGAGTACGTCCACCTCCTCAGCCCGTGGTGCACCTGGAACGAGAGCAGTCGAGCGTTCTTCCTCGGGCTCTCCTATCTGCATTTTGAGTGAGGGTTTTTTTGTACCATACGAGTGTTTCGGGGTCCTTCTGAAACAAAATAATATTTGAGACGTGCTAAGAAAATGAGTTACTTCTCCTATTTCAGCCCTGTAGAAATAGATATGTTGAATTGATAGGCTGAGTTTTTACAATTCATTAGTTGGAAATAATAAAAGACATGGTAAACTTGAAGAAAATGACATCAGTTGAGAGTCTACAAATTTACTCCGTTGTTGATTTTCTGCCGATATCTCCATTTGTGAAGTGCGAGAAGTAACTCGTTTTGTCAGCACGTCCCACATATGTGGGTGGTTGGCGGGTGGGCTGCTCTGGGTCGGTTTGTTTCTTCTCTCCTATCAAACATCTATCGTCCTTACCTTTCCTCCTTCTTTTGTGTTTGTTACTCTCTGGAAACGCCTCTAATGTTCGACAAATATATGATCTATCTGTGTTGCAAGTGGTTTAAAAAACTCTTACTAAAAAAGAAACAAAACTAAATATAAATAAAACCCTGATTTTATAATTACTTGAAAAAGATTTCAACGTAACAGTTATTTTTTTCCATGAAGGTTTTTGTGTTTGTGGATTAACTGTCTCGTGTCCCTTGTATGGTCTGTACAATTTTTGTTGAATATGAAGGTTTGGTATATGTGAGACAGCGTGGTGGAATCAGGCTCTCGTCAAAATAATCAAAGTGAAGAAACTTGCATTTTTTCTCAGGTTTGTGAACTTTTATCAAATTTTTGTTTTTTGGCTCAACAACTTTCTTGTCCTTTAAAGAACTCATTCCAGTGTGGATTTTTCTGAAAAACGTTGATTAAAGGCTCAAAAATGTAAATTTTCACTTACCATGGACTCTTAAGCTAAGGAAATAATTAATCTTTGGCGGCCATTTCTGACTAACTTTACCTCTGAAAACAGGTGACCCCCATCCTTTTCATTCGCAAATATGTCGACTTGTGTTCAAGATAAATGGATATTTTTTTCATCCAAATAAAGACAAAGTGAATAAGCTTTAAGATGATACCAATAACTCTACATACTCAAAAATTGACGAGAGCCTGATTCCACCATGCTGCCTCACATATTAGTGATAGCAGATAGCATTTGTATAGCGCAAATCCCAGCTCAACAGCAAGCTCTATGCGCTTCACAATCTATACTGTTACTCCAGCAGACCTCAGAGCATTCTGAAATGACTTCGACTTCCTGGGAAGCATACAGAGCAAGCAGCTGTTTATAGGCGCTAAAACACCAACATACTGACAAGATCTTTTGCCGTCTATGGCCGGGTACCCATTCCCACCTGGGCGAAGTGAAGAAAATTTGTGTAGAGTGCCTTTCCCAAGGACACAACGTCAGGCCCGCGGCTCGAACTCCCGAACCCGCAACCCCACGACCAGATGGGTTATTTTGTACTGCTGACTGTGTGACTGCAAAGTGTTTATGCCATATGGTCCCTTTCCTCAGCGAGACTCACAAAGCCATGAAGCTGTTTGTGGAGGCGAGCGACGGTATCGCCACCGAGACCTTCCTGTCGCAGAAACTGCTGCAGAGCGAGGAGACGGACCACTACACACTGCAGATACTCTACTACCTCAAGGTCAGTTGCTACCCTAGAGGTACATAACAAAGTTCTGTCTGCTACAGGACACAAGTTCTGTCTGCTACATGACATGACACAAGTTCTGTCTGCTACATGACACAAGTTCTGTCTGCTACATGACACAAGTTCTATCTGCTCAGTACCTACTTTTGAGAAATTTGACGTAAAAAAATTTTAGTTTCACATGTCGAGCTTTTTCGAATGCAATTCTCTGAATATGTTGAACGACTCCGAGGCAGTTCTATATTTTCTGTTTTGTTGTTGTGTTTTCGGTTGTTTTTTTTTGGTTAAAAAGATCATTCTAAATCAAAAACTGTCGGTTCTAGGGCCTCACGACAGATTTTCACTCACTCTTAGCTTTTTTTACTTTTTGGTATTTTCCGATCCCTCATTCAGTCTAGATTATATTGAAACTAGTTGCTGACTGATTTACATTGACAGAACTTAATTTTATTGGGTTTTACGTTGTGTTCTAACATGTTTTGATGTTTAACCTTGTTTTTCTCAAAACACTTTTTCACCACTTTTTGCTTGCATATGCTTTTCTTTTTTTTTTTTCGCCATTTTTTATTTTCCAACACAGAGACTTGAAATTTGGCATGGAGTTAGACAAGTGGTTTGTACTTGCAGTGGGCTGTTAGTATTTTACATTTTGCTTTAAATAATTTTTCACAATTTTTTTTTTCATGCAAAAAAGATTTTTTAAAGAACAAATTTGGATACTTTTAAAGTATAGTTTCAAAAATCAAAGCAGCCAGCTGCAGGCACCTATATATTTGTGACAGTTTGTAAGTTACACAATTTTTATAAAGTTACCTGTAGAAATGGTGGAGAAAAAAAATAATTTCCATCCAGTTTTCAAGATGGCCGCTGTTTCCATGGCAACGGCTTACGTAATCGAGTGTGTCACCAGTTGAGCATGAATCTTCTGTCTCATACTTACTGCCTGTGACAAAAGTTGTTTCAGTTTGTCTTAAGTAGAAAATGTTGTGCCTTAACTCATTCGCTACGTATTATTTTCGGCTTGTGGACGAATTTTTTTTCGGGAGAGCGAGAGAGATGATGACTAGTGGGCAGGTAAAAGGTCTTTGGGGCCACAAATTCAAATAAATATCAACATATTATATACCAATATTTTCAGTATGGTTTGTAGAATACATCTGTATTGTTTATTTATGTATTTTTCAAATTTGGTTCCTGTAAGAGACGATTATGCAACACAGCTTTGATTGGATGCGAATAAAATTTGAAAATAAAAAATTTATAATCTTTGGTGAAACTCAAAAAATATGTTTGCACCTAGTCAAATGATACATCAAAATAACCATAAATGAATATAGAACTGGGAAATATTGAAATGTTTGCAGTTATTTACCTACATTCCATAATATTTGTACATTTTGAACATAACATCCGATATTGAAAAAAAAAAAAAAATTATAATCTTGAAAAACGATCACAAACAGAAAAAACCCCGCTCGTATCTTATATGGAATTATTCAGAATTGCATTTGGAATAAACCTATACATGTCTTGAGTGGCACTTTTTTTGTAATTTCCACTAAAAGTAGTGATTTTGGGGAGAAAAAATATTTTGACTATTTAGATCTAGACCTAGATCGAGCACTCAAAAATATTGATTTCTCAATAACAGTGCATTGGCAATATGAGTCCAATCGTATCAATATTATAAAAAAGAGTCCTACACTTCTTTAGAGGGCAAAATAATGATAGATTTGTTGTGTAAAAGTACTAAGACTGGTGTCCGGGCTATAATTTTGGAATCGCGATAAAACAAAGTCCAATAAACTACGAAATCGCGTTTCAAAACTGAATCTAAATATCCGATTTTCAGTGGAAATGCTTGACCCGGAAGTCAACATTATATTATGACCTTTATTTTAACACGGATATGTGGATTGGAATAGAATCTAATCTAAAATTGAAGATCGGTTCCCGCGCCGCCCCCCACGGCTCGCCGTAGCGAATGAGTTAGTAATTGAGCCCCCTTAAAAAATTTGTCGTTTTTTTTTTGTGTGTGTGTGTAGGTGATCAAGTTGTTGGAGGAGAAAGGTCTGTCTGACTTAGTCATCACCATGGCAACAGAGGCGATTCGGAAAGCTGATCCCGAGGATCCGAACTTGGTAGGTCGATATTTGTCAGAGGCTGGTGGGTGCTCTGGTGTGGTTTGCTCCTTCTTTCCTATCGAACATCTATCGTCGTCATCTCTCCTCCTTCTTTTTTGTCTTTGTTACTCTCTTGTAAAACCTCTAATCTTCGGCACTTATATAACCTTATTGTGTTGCAAGTGCACTAACTGACAATGTTCTGATTTCTTTTCATTCATAAGTGTCCGCGCTTATTTCCGACACAAAAACTTAGAATGAATGTGTTAGCTGTCTTTATTTTTATTCCATGCAAGAATTTTATCTCTGCCCATGTATGCACTCAGTTTTGTGCATAACATATCCTTCTTAGTTGTATACATGCTGCCACAGACACAGCATGATTCACAAACAAACACAGAGAAACTTTCTCTTGTTTACCTGTAATGGTAAAACAAGAGCTGACGCTGAGTGTCTTTAGTTAAAAAATGCAGATGTGCGTCTTACTTCTCCTATAACTTGACTATTACTACTTGTGCATATTTAAGATTTCTCATGGTAAAAAACATGATATTCGAAGTCAGTTTAACACAGATTTTGGAGAGATCTATCATGCCGTTTTAAATAAACAATCATTTATTAATAAGTTTGTAACTAAAATAAGACAAATTAGGTACTCTACAAACACTTGTCTAGAAAAAAAACTAAGACACAGAAATTAACCATTCTAACGTAGAATAAATCTCGAGACATTGAACTTTTAGTACCTCAGTGTAATGGTTTGCTGTGTGGGATGGAGAAGAAGTTATATCATTTCAAACGTAGACAAAAATGCGAACTTCTTAACCAACACCGGCAAAGTATGGTTATTGTGACACTCTTTTCTCTTATATTTTCCTACGTTGTTGGTAGTTGAAAGTGTTCATGGTGAGAAAAACAGTCTGTAATGATGTTTCTTTTATTTTTTCCTACTTTGTCGGTCGACGTTGCTGTTGAAAGTGTTCAAGGTGAGAAAGGCAGTGATGATATTTCTATGGTTATTGTCACGCTCGTTTCTTTGTTTCCCCACGTTGTCAGCCGACGCTGCAGTCGAAAGCATTCAAGGTGAGAAAAGCAGTCTGTGATGATGTTTCTATAGTTATTGTCGCACTCTTTTCCTTCCCCCCCCCCCCCCAATTCTCAGCCGACGCTGCAGTCGAAAGTGTAGTATGTCATGTTTCTACAATTATCATTGCAATTTCTTCTTTATGTTTCCCCCCGTTCTCAGCCGACGTTGCAGTCGAAAGTGTTCAAGGAGCACCTGAAGCTGGGTCACTGCGAGGCCAGCTTCCACGCCATGATGGATAACCCAGATCCTGAGAGGTGAGAAAGTTGTGGGTGGGTGGTTGGTGGGTGTTTTAGTGTGGTGTGCTCCTCCTTTCCTATCAAACAACTATCGTACATACCTCTCCTTCTCTTTTGTGTTTGTTACTCTCTTGTAACCCATCTGTTCTTCGGCACATGTATGACCTTATTTTGTTGCAAGTGCAGTAAAACTCTTACTAAAACTTAGCTAATGTCTATCATGCTTATCTCTCAGTGACTGTGGGTGGTTGGCTGGTGCTCTGACGGGATTTGTTCTTTCTGTTCTTCTGTCTAATGTCTCTCGTCCTTATCTCTCAATGGGTGGTTGGCTGGTGCTCTGGTGAGGTTTGTTCTTTCGTTTCTGTCATCTAATATCTAATATCCAATGTCTAATATTACAAGAACTTATCAGTATATATAAATCAGGGAGAAACCTAAGATCATCAAACAATAACACCCTACTTGTGACACCTGTAAAATCATACAAATCATATGGAGAGAGATCTTTCTCATATCTTGGTCCATTAATGTGGAACAGATTACCCATGAAACTAAGACAGATAAGAACACTTGATAGGTTCAAAAGACATCTTAAACATTTTCTGTTCCTACAGGCCTATCCTTCATAAGCTTTTAACGTTATCTTTCATTATAGTTATTCTGTTCCTATGTCTGGATGAAAATAGTCTCTGTGTGTGTGTGTGTGTGTGTGTGTGTGTGTGTGTGTGTGTGTGCATTAATGTATATTGCATGAGAAGAAAGGAAGTAGTAAGAAAGGTTTTTGAAAAATGGGTATTCCAATGTAAAGCGCATTGAGCTACTTTTTTGGAAATGCGCTATGTAAATGTTATATATATTATATCTGTCCCCCTTATCTCTCCGTGGGTGGTTGGTGTTGCTCTGATGGGGTTTGTTCTTTCGTTTCTGCCGTCTAATTTCTGTCGTCCTTATATCTCTTTGTTTAGGGATTCTCGTGGGCTACTTAGTTCAGAAAAGAGTTTTACGGCATTTCCAAACAATAAGGTAATATAAGTGCCGAAGATTAGAGGTGTTACAAGAGAGTAACAACAAACGTAAAAAAGAAGGAGGAGAGATAAGGACGATAGATGTTTAAGAGGAAAGAAGGAGCAAACCACACCAGAGCACCCGCCAACCACCCACCTTTTTAAAACAAGCGGATGAATATCCACTTTCGAGACAATTTTGATATAGAATCCTGGACACTTCGTGGGCTACAGGTAGGGTTAACGCCTCTCTTTCAGTAGGTCCCGGGTTCAGAACCTGGCAGTAACGGAACATTTTTTACTCTAAAATTTTCTCCTTTCACCTCCTTACCTGTTCTCTACACATGTACTGCCTTCTGCTTTCCTCATCCTTACTATCATCATTTTTCCTTTACTTCTTTTGTATGTTTGTTACTCTCTTGTGAACTGCTTTTTCCGGGGTGACTTGATAGTCGAAGCAGACTTTGTGCTGTTGAAGCTAGAGAGGTGAGCAGAGTAAGCCTGATTCCCTGTAAGGACTTCCTCTGTCATCCACCCCTTGGCGCTCATATGACCTCATGCAGTTGCGAGAGCTGAAAACCTTACTAAGTGGGTGGTTAGCGGGTGCTCTGGTGTGGTTTGCTTCTTCTTTCCTATCAAACATCTATCGTCCTTATCTCCCATTCTTCTTTTTTACGTTTGTTACTTTCTTGCAACACCTGTAATCTGCTGGTGCTCATATGACCTTATGCTGTTGCGAGGGCCGTAAAACCTCTACTAAAACTTAAAACATGGACAGTCTTTATCTCGCCTCCTTCTATTTTGTGTTTGTTACTCTCTTGTAACACCTAATCTTCGGCATTTATATGAACTTATTGTGTTGCAAATACCGTAAAATACTTACTAAAGCAACAAAAAAAACCCTTACTTACAAAAAACAACTGCCATATGTGCTTTCATGGCCACCTGTTTGTTGTTCCAGGAGAAAGGACTGTCTGCGCCAGTTTTTGGTGGTGCTGTGTGAGTCGGGACATCTTGCTGAGCTCGTTGGTTTTGATTACATGGACCTCAGCGAAGAGGTGAGGTCAACACGAATACTTAAACCCTCCCAGTGTCATAACCTTTTCTTATGAACAGTAGAATTGTAATTGGAAATGAGCTGATTCATCGATATCATGCTCATAACTGTGCCTGAACTGGTACAGGAAACTGCTGCTTTTACTTTCCTAATCCTTTCTTTGAACTGCTATTTCCGGGGTGCCTTGATAGTTGAAGCAGACTTTGTGCTGTTGAAGCTAGAGAGGTGAGCAGAGTAAGTCTGATTCCCTTTAAGGATTTCTCTGTTGACATCGACCCCTTGGCGCTCATATGACCGTATGCAGTTGTGAACACCGTAAAACCTCTACTAAAACAAAAAACATCTATCGTCATTATCTCTCCTCCTTCTTTCTTGTGTATGTTACTCTCTTGCAACACCTCTAATCTTCAGCACTTAAATGGCCTTATTATGTTGCAAGTGCCGTAAAACTCTTCTCCTTCATTCGCAAACACCTCGACTTGTATTCAAGATAAATGGATATTTTTTTCATCCAAATAAACACAAGTGAATAAGCTTTACGGTGATGCCAATAACTCTACATGCCCAAAAATTGACGGGAGCCTGATTCCACCACGCTGCCTCACATTTAAATATCAAAAACATTGTTTTTATTTGTTCCTCTTTTTCTCGACAGGTGGTGTACATTTTAGAGAACAGAGCCCGGTCTGTGGACCTGTTCACCCACGACTATTACAGTCTGCTCTTCTCCTACTTCATCCAACGGGAGGACTACAGGGCAGGTAAGTCTTTAGGCCTTTCCCAAAGGGGAGGATATTAACACATTACACCCTAACTCACCAGGGACCGCCCGCGAATTCCCTTACGCGCTCCACTCTGACTTGCCCGGAACCGCCCGCGCCGACCTAGCGTCTTTAGAAATGAAGTCTCGCCTTGACGAGACTCTGGGGCTGAGATTTTGATTTGCATAGTTATTGCAAAAAGTTTCTGCTTTCGTTTGATACTGAAACGAAATTTTTCGGGCCAGTAGTTTTAGTGCAAGAGCTGATCGAAATGCGATCGCGTTACGGACACTTCGAAAGTGTCTTGACATGTTGAAAAGCGACACAATTGAGTTCGAAAACGGAAATAACGATGGATTTGGGCAAAAACAAGCATATGACAAATCAGATGGCCCAGATTTTGATGAAAAGTTGTTGCAAGAATTTGGGGCGATTCAGATTGATCAGACGGAGAAAACTAGAATTTAGATCTAGGGCCCGACCGCGAGGCTGAGAGTGAGAAAGACGGGTGGGACACCCCGATTGGACTAAAGTTACAACATTTCCAACAGTTTGCGCATACATAAAGTTATATTTTTCTGATACTACATTCAGTTTTCTTTTTAACTTTTCTTTTTTTCAGGATTTTGGGAATTTGTTTAGTATTTTTTAAATGTGTTTTTTAAAAAACTTGTATTCACGAGAGGTGGGTTCCTTCCCCTTGCTTAGGATCTAACAATGGACTCCCCGTCCTGACCCCTAGGGTGTAATGTGTTAAAATGTTCTTATGAGCAGTAGAATTATAAATGGGCTAATTTATCAATGTCATGCTCATACTGTGTCTTGAACAATGCTACTGTGACAAAGAAAAAAACAAACAAACACAAGGGGAGAAGTAGGAAGTGGTCATTTGTACAGGTGATTGTCTTGGACAGCTTGCCATTAGAACCGTTTCGACTGTTTTTTAGAGAGAAAAAAATTAAAAGCTTGTGAACTCTCCGCCGCGCAGTCCAGGCATTGAAAAGAATAGGACTGACATGGTGCTAGCGTGTCGTAGAAGGCGACTAAATGGCGAAACCAGGTAGTGACTCCTGAAACCTCCAGGTCGGGGGTTGAGTCACGAGGCTAACAACCTCTCTCGTAAAAAGAACCTGTTACAGAAACACATACAAGCAAAAACCATTATCTCTGCTTGGCTGGTCGTGAATGGAGAGTTTATGATGCGAGGCAGTGAAAGCTGAAAGGAAGCTGCTGGGCAGAAGCCTCCACCATCATCCAAGTCTCTCCGGATTGGATCATGGAACGTTAGGAGCCTTTATGACTCTGGAAAAACTTTATTTCCTTGGGGGGTAAATCCACTATATAAATCCCCTTATTTTTTCATACTAAATCTAAAAATGACAAAAATGTTACTAACTCAATGGGTCATTAAATCGAAACAATTGAACCTATTTTGATAGTTCTTCATTTTATGAATAAACTCCCGATAAAAGAGAACTGTTTTCGGCAATTGCCAACAAGTAATTTGATGTCAAAGTTGTGGTAAAGGAATGTGCTCGAGCCACTGTCAGCGACTCACCAACACAGGAGTCCTGACTGTGAGCCGCTGGGAGTGGTTTGCCGGAGATAAAGAGTTAACGTGATAATGTGCTTATTTTTGTTTTGTTTGTTTTTTGGTTTTTTTAACTGGAACTCACACCCTCATCTCCCTCCCTCCCCTCCTCTCTCTCTTTTTCCCTCTCTCTCTTTCTATCTCTCTCTCTCTCCCTCTCTACCCCCCCCCTCCTTCCACCCACTCCCTCCCTCTCTCCCCCCGGTTCAGCTGGGCGTGTCATGTTGGAGCGAGGTATGCGTCTGGCCCAAGAAGTGCCAGGACTAAAAAGCCTCCAGCAGCAGGCCCAGTGCTACCTGGCAGCTCTCAACACCCTCCACCTTGTCAAGCCGGAGAACGCCTGGATGGTCCGACCGACGAGACGGGCCACCGCCCAGCACAGGCACGACGCAGAGCCGCCGGCGAAACGAGATGCAGAGGGCGAGGCCAAGCCTTCAGAAGCAGGTAGGTAGAAACTTTGCTTTGTATGTGATAATGTTACCCGACCTCAGTGCTTTCTTGTCCTATCTCCATTTTTTGATAACCGTGAAAACAGTTCGTGGGTGGTTGGCGGGTGCTCTGGTGTAGTTTGCTCCTTCTTTCCCAGCAGCGTAAGCCTGATTCCCCGTTTGGACTTCTCTGTTGACATCCACCCTTTGCGCGCTCATATGACCTTATGCTGTTGGGAGCACCATAATACCCTACTAAAACTAAAAATAGACTTCTATAAAACCACATTTCTGCTGCTCGGATTCCAGTTTGATCCACCTTTTGTAGTACCCAGGCCTCTTTCCCATACAGAACAACAGGTCCATTAGACTTTGAATGAATGGTTTTATTACTTTTTAATGTGTGGTTGGTGGGTGCTCTGGTGTGCTCCTTCTCTCCTATCACACATATATGATCCTTATCTCTCTTCCCCTCTTCTTTTTGTTCTTGTTTTTCTGGGGGAGTTCCCTTTTTTTTTCTATTTTAAAAACTTATTTATCATTTTTGGGGTATTATGTTACTGTCTCATATTATCTCTGTGAGTGCAAGCATACTGCGTGTGTATGCATGTTTGTGTGTGTGTGTGTGTGTGTGTGTATGCTTCTTCTTTCCTATCAAACATCTATATCCTTATCTCCCCCTCTTTTTTATGTTTGTTTACTCTCTTGTAACACCTCTAATCTTTTGGTGCTCATATGACCTTATGCAGTTGCGAGCGCTGTAAAACCTCTACTAAAACTAAACTAAAAGATGTATCTTATCTTATCTGGGACACTTTCATGACCTATAACCCCCCCCCCCCTCTCTCACTCTTTCACTCACTCGCTCAATCGCTCTCTCTGCCCCCCCCCCCCCCCCGGGTGGTGCCATTGACTGAAGTTGTCTTTAGGTGATTCTCAAAGCGGGGATATTAACCATGTTCTTATTCACAGTAGAACTGTAAGAGTAAATGGACTGGCTCATCAATGTCATGCTCATAACTCTGCCTGAACTGCAACAGGAAACTGCTGCTTTTTCCTTCCTAATCTTTACTATCGTCATTTTCCCTCTACTTCTTTTGTATGTTTGTCACACTCTTGTGAGCCGCTATTTCCGGGGTGCCTCGAAAATCGAAGCTGATTGAGGACGGAGAAATCTATCCCTCAATTATATCTAGTGGATGGATTACATTACCGTTCTCTTACAAAAAACCTCCAAAAACTGACTTATGCACCCCCACCCCACCCCGCCCCTCTGCAGGCCCCCAGAAGATGGAGATCCTGGAGCTGGCGGACCTGAGAAAGGAGTACCTGCTGGTGGACTGTCGACTGAGACTCATCCGACACCAGCCCGACACTGCCCTCGTCTCAGGTGAGCTGTATACATGTGTCACAACGCAATATATATTTTTCTCGTTGCTGTATACATGTGTCACAACGCTGTATACATGTGTCACAACGCTGTATATATGTGTCACGACGCTGTATACATGTGTCACGACGCTGTATACATGTGTCACGACGCTGTATACATGTGTCACAACGCTGTATACATGTGTCACAACGCTGTATACATGTGTCACAACGCTGTATATATGTGTCACGACACTGTATATATCTGGCGTGATGGGGGGGCGGGGGACCAGTGGGTCCCTAGGCGCGGGCTGGGTTTAGTAATAATAATAATAATAAATTATAGATAGCATTTGAATAGCGCATATCGCCACTCGACAGCAAACTCTATGTGCTTTACACTACATTATTATTACTACAGACCATAGAACTCCCCCCCCCCCACTCCACCCCCAGCAGTGCTACGGACTGAAGTTGTCTTTAGGCCATTTCCAAAGGGGGTGATATTAACATGTTCTTACGCACAGTAGAATTGTAGTTCTTACGCACAGTAGAATTGTAAATGGGCTGATTTATCAATGTCACGCTCATACTGTGCCGGAACAACATAGGAGGAACTGCTGCTTTTTCTTTCCTCTGTACACATCTGGTGTGATTGGGGGGGGGGGGGGGGGGGAGCAGTTAGTCTCTTGTCGCAGGCTGGAATCAATAGTAATAATAATAAATTATAAATAGTTTCTTTTGGTCTCTGTATTGTTAGCGTTAAATGATTGAATGCACATTGCCCAGAGCTTGTTCCCTAACAATATGAAACGCTTTACAAATGCTTTTGAATTTTTAAATCATTAAAATGTTTATTTGTATTGTTATTGTTGTTATTTTTATTATTATAGCCTATTATTATTATTACTTCTAGTAGCCTATTATTATTTTTATTATTATCATTACTTATATTATTTTTATCATTATTGTTATTATTATCATTATTCCCTTATGCAGTTGCGAGCGCGGTAGAACCTTACTAAAACAAAACTTATCGTTATTCACTTACTTTCTGTTTGTTGTATTGTAATTCCCCCTCAGTGGCGTTGGTAGCCTAGTGGTTAGGCTACCGGACTCGTAATCGTGAGATTGCGAGTTTGTGGGTTAGAGCCTCATCTCGGTCCGACGTTGTGTCCTTGGGAAAGGCACTTTACTCGAACTTCCTGCTTGGCTCACTCCCTTCGGAGACGGACGTTAAACTAGGAGGTCCCGCCCCTTAAATAACCTAATAGTGTTGATAGGGGCGTTAAACCTATACCATTTCACCATTTTAAAAAATTCCCTCTCCCTCCCCCTGTCTGTCCACAGGCCCAATGCCATCCCCGGAGGAGATCCTGACACTGCTGTGTGCGGCCGGCCTCTACGACCTGGCCATCTCGCTCATCCACGCCTTCTCGCTGTCCCCCGAGCCGCTACTGTCCAGCCTGGCGCTACGCTGCGTCACCTTCTCCCTGTCCTCCAGTGTCTACAGCAAACTGACAGGTCGGTCGCTGGGTCTATTTCACCGCGTACACAGGTGGTGGCGGTTTCATGGATATGATGATGATGTTTGTGTGTGTATGTGTGTGTGCCTGCAAGTGTGTGTGTGTGTGTGTGCATGCAAGTATGTGTGTATGTATGTGCAATGGACATGCAAGTGTGTGTGTATGTATGTGCAATGGGCATGCAAGTGTGTGTGTGTGTGTATGTATGTGCAATGGGCATGCAAGTGTGTGTGTGTGTGTGTGTGTGTGTGTGCAATGGGCATGCAAGTGTGTGTGTGTGTGTATGTGCAATGGGCATGCAAGTGTGTGTGTGTGTATGTATGTGCAATGGGCATGCAAGTGTGTGTTATGTTCTACATATACACCTGTCAGGTGATTTTAAAATGTGATATATGTTTTTGAATGTAATGCACACTGAGCTTTTTTTTTTTTTAATTTTAATTCAAAGCATAAATACAACAATTTTTGTTGTTGCTATTATTATTCTTATCATAATTGTTAATTATTATAATTAATATTAGTTTTTTTATTATTGTTATTATTATTA